GTTCATAACCACTTGACTCAGTTGGGAGTTAATCTTCCTGAAGATAGTGTCATTGACAGAGTTCTTTAATCACTTCCACCAAGCTATAAAGGCTTCATGATGAACTATAATATGCAAGGGATAGAAACGACAATTCCTGAGCTCTTCGCGACGCTAAAGGTTGCGGAGGTAGAAATCAAGAAAGAGCATCAAGTGTTGATGGTTAACAAGACCACAAGTTTCAAGAAAAAGGACAAAGGGAATAAGGGGAACTTCAAGAAGAACAACAAGCAAGTTGCTTCTCAAGAGAAGAAGTCCAAGTCTGGATCTAAGCCTGAAACTGAGTGCTTCTACTTCAAAGGAGCTAGTCACTGGAAGCGGAACTGCCCCAAGTATTTGGCGGATAAGAAGGATGGAATAGTGAAAGGTACATTTGATATACATGTTATTGATGTGTACCTTACTAATGCTCGTAGTAGCACCTGGGTATTTGATACTCGTTCTGTTGCTCATATTTGCAACTCGAAACAACAGCTACGGATTAAACAAAGATTGGCTAAGGACGAGGTGACGATGCGCGTGGGAAATGGTTCCAAAGTTGATGTGATCGCCGTCGGCACGCTACCTCTACATCTATCGCCGGGATTAGTTTTAGACCTGAATAATTGTTATTTGGTGCCAGCGTTGAGCATGAACATTATATATGGATCTGTTTGATGCGAGACAGTTATTCATTTAAATCAGAGAATAATGGTTGTTCTATTTATATCAGTGATATCTTTTATGGTCATGCACCCTTGATGAGTGGTCTATTTTTGTTGAATCTCGATTGTAGTGATACACATATTCATAATATTGAAGCCAAAAATGCAAAGTTAATAATGATAGTGCAACTTATTTGTGCCGTTTAGGTCATATTGGTGTAAAGCGCATGAAGAAACTCCATGCTGATGGACTTTTGGAATCACTTGCTTATGAATCACTTGATGCTTGCGAACCATGCCTCAAGATGACTAAGACTCCGTTCTCCGAAACAATGGAGTGAGCCACTGACTTATTGGAAATAATACATATTGATGTATGCGGTCCAATGAGTGTTGAGGCTCGCGGCGGGTATCGTTATTTTCTGACCTTCACAGATGATTTGAGCAGATAGGGGTATATCTACTTAATGAAACATAAGTCTAAAACATTTGAAAAGTTCAAAGAATTTCAGAGTGAAGTGGAAAATCATCGTAACAAGAAAATAAAGTTTCTACGATCTGATCGTGGAGGTGAATATTTGAGTTATGAGTTTGGTCTTCATTTTAAACAATGTGGAATAGTTTCATAACTCACGCCACCTGGAACACCACAGCGTAATGGTGTGTCTGAACATCGTAACCGTACTTTATTAGATATGGTGCGATCTATGATGTCTCTTATCGATTTACCGCTATCGTTTTGGGGTTATGCTTTAGAGACGGCTGCATTCATGTTAAATAGGGCACCATCTAAATCCGTTGAGATGACACCATATGAACTGTGGTTTAGCAAGAAACCTAAGTTGTCGTTTCTTAAAGTTTGAGGCTGCGATGCTTATGTGGAAAAGCTTCAACCTGATAAGCTCGAACCCAAATCGGAGAAATTATGTCTTCATAGGATACCCAAAGAAGACTGTTGGGTACACCTTCTATCACAAATCCGAAGGCAAGATATTCCTTGCTAAGAATGGATCCTTTCTAGAGAAGGAGTTTCTCTCGAAAGAAGTGAGTGGGAGGAAAGTAGAACTTGATGAGGTAATTGTACCTTCTCTGGAATTGGAAAGTAGTTCATCACAAAAATCAGTTCCAGCGATTCCTACACCAATTAATAAGGAAGCTAATGATGAGGATCATGAAACTTCAGATCAAGTTACTACCGAACCTCGTAGGTCAACCAGAGTACGACCCGCACCAGAGTGGTACGGTAATCCTGTTCTCGAGGTCATGTTACTTGAGCATGACGAACCTACGAAATTTGAGGAAGCGATGATGAGCCCAGATTCCGCAAAATGGCTTGAAGCCATGAAATCTGAGATGGGATCCATGTATGAGAATAAAGTGTGGACTTTGGTTGACTTTCTCGATGATCAGCAAGCCATAGAGAATAAATGGATCTTCAAGAAGAAGACTGACGCTGACGGTAATGTTACTGTCTAGAGAGGTCGACTTGTTGTGAAAGATTTTCGACAAGCTCAAGGAGTTGACTACGATGAGACCTTCTCACCCGTAGCTAGTCTAGTAGAGGCTCACTAGGGACACGATATTTGTTTATGTATCCACACATGTATTTAAGTTTCCGATCAATACAATTCTAGCATTAATAATAAACCTTTATCATCAATAAGGAAATATAAAATAACAACTTTATTATTGCCTCTAGGGCATATTTCCTTCATGATGTAGGTCATTACTTTCAGACCAAAATAGTCATATGGCAGGGTGACCCAGTGTCCCTAATGTTATTTAACATTATTGCTGACATGTGGACTATTCTGATTGAGTGCGCCAAGCAGGATGGCCAGATTGCAGGAGTAGTGCCATACCTTGTGGATGGTGGCCTCTCTATTTTGCAATACGACGACGACACAATACTTTTTATGGAACATGATCTGGACCAGGCTCAAAACCTGAAACCCTTGCTTTCAGCGTTTGAGAATGTTGCGTCTCAAAATAAACTTTCATAAAAGCGAATTGTTCTGCTTAGGAGAATCCGTTGAGGCGTCGTCCGATTATGCTGACCTATTTGGTTGCGCATATGGCCAATGCCCAATTAAATATTTAGGAATACCGATTCATTATCAGCGCCTCACCATTGCAGTGGAAGCATATAGAGGAGTGTCTAGAGAAACGGTTGAGCATTTAAAAAGGCAAACTGCTCTCAATTGGAGGACGGTTTTGGTTTACTCCGTCCTTATAAATATGGTTCTCTATATGATTTCTTTCTTCCAACTTCCAAAAAGGGTCCTACAAAGACTAGACAATTTTAGATCCAGATTCTTTTGGCAAAGAGACGATGAAAAGAAAAAAACATACAGGTTGGCAAAATGAAGCGTGGTTTGTTCATGACCTACATGTCAAGAATGAGGCCCTACTCAGTAAATGGTTGTTCAAATTTCTTACTGACGATGGTGTTTGGCAAACCATGTTGCGCAACAAGTATCTAGGCCAAAAAGCGGTGTCCAAGGCATTTTTGAAACCTGGCGACTCGCACTTTTGTGCTGACCTAATGGCGGCAAAGAAACGTCTCTTTCGCTTTGGGTCTTTTGTGATAAAGGACGCCCGGAGATTCATTGTTGTAAAGACATCTGGCTAGGCACTGCCAGTCTCCGAGAACAATATCCAACCTTATATACCATTGTTCGTGATAAGAATAATACTATTGTGCAAGTGCTCAGTTCATCCCCGCTGAATATTTTGTTCAGTCGGGATTTGATTGGCCCCCGACTTGTGTCATGGCATAATCTTTTATCCCGACAAGATTCAATTTACCTGACACAAGGCCGAGATGTGTTTCGCTGAAAACTTACTACATCAGTGTCTTTCAGTGTAGACTCTATGTGCCGTGCACTCACAAATCTTAAGGTACCAGTGAGTAATAACAAGAAAATTTGGAAGTCCAAGATTCCATTAGAAGTGAAAAACTTCATGTGGTATCTTCATAGGGGAGTTCTATTAACCAAAGACAACCTTGCACAACGCAACTAGCAAGGGAGTAAGAGTTTGTACTCATGACGAGACAATCAAACACCTCTTTTTTTAATGCAAGTTTGCACGTTATACATGGCCAGTCACCCAAATAGCGTCAAATATGCATTCGTCCACAAGTGTTGCCAATATTTTTGGTTTTTGGTTTGGATGGTATTCTAAATAGATTCAAAATGGTAATAAGGGTGAGAACCGTATGCCTTAGTTTGGTCGACTTGACTATGTAGAAATGATTTGTTTTTTAATGAAAAAAACGCTTCTCCTCTGCCTGTTATTTTCTTGTATATGCACTTGCTACGTACGTGGTGCATGCTACAAAGATCGAAATACCAATCGTTGTTCAAAACGGTGTGTACGTGATTGGAGCAGGTGTCTACGAAGGGTTTTGTTTTTCCAACATGGATGACAGCATAACCTTTGGATCAATCCACCACCACCTTTGACATAGGCAATGGGACTCTACTTTTGCCGATTTATCAATTTTTATTTATGAATTTTTGTCAGACTTTTGAATTTGGTTGTATGCATTCTAATCATACAAAGACCGAATGTTATTCATATTACTTTGTATCTGTTTGATGCTACATTTGAGATGATAAAATCGCCATGTATCAAAAAACATCAATAGAATGAGATGTCCTTTATGAAAAAAGATGGATGATGACCAAAATGACAGCAATCAAAAGCAAACCACACGGCCAGGGTCACTAACTTGTCGCCTTGACCGCCAACTTTGACCTCCTTCACACTAACGCCGTTAGTCGGCACTACGTCACAGCGCGCGCCAGTCGAAACTATCCAGACAAACGGACAAAACTCCTTCCGTCCCGGCAGTTTATTTACTCCTACGCAAAAAATATAAATAAATCCGAAAGGCAAAACCCCCGAAACTTCTCCGCGTTCCCCTCTCTCCCTCTCTCTCGCGTCTTCTTTCTCCTCGCAACATTTGGTTCGACTCAACTCACGGGCTGGCGAGCGGGGACCTGGAGAGCGCAGCCGCCGTTTTGACCCGCCCGGCCGGCGATCAAGGACCCCTTATAAGCGTCTTTTCTTCCCCATACGGCTTCTCACGCAAGCTGAGTTTTCTGCTCCGCCTGCGCCGGTCGCAGATTCCCGCGAAAGCGAGGGCCAGAGCTTTTCTTTTCTATCTATCTTGCTCTGTCCTCTCCCCCCTTTGTGCCCTCCGTCCTGCCAAAGCGGCAGAAAGCCGCGGCTGTTCTTGATTCTCGCGGGGGGCTGCGCCGGTCTTGGCGGCCTGGACGTGAAGGAGGCGCGGCGCGGCGGGGGCGTTCGATGGGCACGGTGAAGGCGTGGGTGGCGGGCAAGTACGCGGAGCCAATGGGGCCGATGCACGACTCGCTGCGCGTCGCCTACGTGGTCTTCTCCTTCTGCGCCGCCTTCTTGCTCGGCGGAATCAAAGGCATGTGCCTATTCTCTTCCTCCCTGTGAATATTGGTCGCGCCTTTGTTTCTGCCGGTGTGGCTTACTGTTCTTCTCGTTCTTGGGGAAATGGGTGTGCAGCGATGGTGGTCGGCCCGGTGGCGGCGGCGCTGATGATACTGGGGAACGTGGGCGTGATCCTCGTGCTCTTCCCGGCGCACGTCTGGTGGACCATCTACTCGCTCATCAAGTAAGCCCATTCTGCTTCTCGTGTGCTAGAAACAGAGCATTCTTTGTTGGTTCCGAGCTTCCGATCCCTTCCGCTGAATGTTCAGTTCTGGGCGCAAACTTCTGATTCTGGCTTGGCCGAGGTTTCGATGACCCGATTCGGCTGCCGATTCTTCGAATTTCAGTGGCGAATCAGATGATCCGCCACATGAGAATGAGATAGAATAGTCAAACTGATCGATCGCTGTTGGTTGCGTTGCTCTGCATTCTGAACCCAGGACGGACCGCATCAACGCGGGCCTGAAGCTGGCGGTGGCCATCGCGCTGCCGGTGCTGTTCGGGCTCTGGCTCGGCCTGGGCATCTTCGGGAGCGCCCTGGTGGCGCTGGGCTACGGCTTCTTCACGCCGTGGATCTCCACCTTCGAGGCGTTCCGGCAGGAGAGCGAGGCCAAGAAGTTCGTGCATGGCATTGTGGTAAGCTCAAACTTCTAAGGGACGACCGGTCGCTGCTAACTGTGAAAATTGAGTGAGAGATCGACGGTTGATTTTGGTTTCTCGGCGGTGGCAGGACGGGACGTGGGGGACGATCAAGGGCAGCTGCACGGTGGTGAGGGACTTCGCGGACATGTGCTTCCACTCCTACCCCGTTTACCTCAAGGAGCTCCGCGAGTGCGCCCACGACCGCGAGCCCCTCTCCATAAGGTATTGATACCATCGTGTTAGACCACATAATGATATATTAGCACTGGGTTACCTGTCTAAAGCTATTCAAGATTTTTGTCTGAAGCTGTTGATATTATCGTGTTAGATAATACTATAAGATGGTATTTATTGTTATATTAGCACTGGATGACCTGTCTGAAGCTGATTTTGTCCCATGGTATCATCTTGTGTGACAAGAAATTTTGTTTCATGCTGTGATCTTGTGTGACAAGGACGTGCCTATTTGATAGTGATACATTTTTCATAAGAAAAACATGCCCTGGCAGCTTGCCATTCTAGACTTAATGAAGCATAGTAAAGCCTGTAAAATCTGGGTCGATCGCCCCGTCATGATCACTGCACATCACATTATAATTACAGTTGCTTGAAGCTGGACAATGAAAGCGATGGTGAACTAGCTAGCTGTGCACGCCAAAAATCACCCTGAAAAGAAAATGTGCTGTGGTGTTTGTGCAGGCTGCTGGACGTGCCGTCGTGCATACTCGTCGGCCTCCTGGGGTTGATCGTGGACATACCGCTCTACACGGTGATCGCGCTGATCAAGAGCCCCTACATGCTCTTCAAGGGCTGGCAGAGGCTGCTGCACGACCTCATCAGCCGCGAAGGCCCCTTCCTGGAGCCGGTCTGCGTGCCCATCGCCGGCCTCGCCATCCTTTTCTGGCCCCTGGTGGTGGTTGGGAGCGTCCTGCTGGCCGTCGTCTCCAGCATTTTCGTAGGTCTCTACGGAGCGGTCATCGTCTACCAGGTCTCTTTCTTTGCCACTGCCACCGTGCCGTGCCATTTCTTGCCCGTCTCCCACGCGTCCGATTCCATGCTGCGCGCGAAAGAGATTGCCTGATGTGGTCAAGTCTGTTCGTCGTCGCAGGAGAAGTCCTTCCGGCGGGGGGCTTCGTACGTGGTGACCATGGTCGCCGAGTTTGACGAGTACACCAATGACTGGCTTTACCTTCGCGAAGGGACTGTTCTTCCAAAGTAAAGTGTTCTCTACTGCTGTTTTTGAACACTTTGGGTTGTGTTGTAGGTTGTAGCTTCTACTCTGTTGTGTGCTGCTTTATTCATTTCTCATGGTTCAAGTTTGTTTTCCACCAGGCCTTCCTACCGGAAGAGGAAATTGCCCGATTCCGCCGAGTTCTCGGTCCGGCCAAATGTTTCTGTCAGGGGAGGTGAGCACCCTAGTTCATCCAGTGAAGCTCCGGCAATGCTGGTTCCCACTTTGGTTCCGGCGAGGTCCGTCAGAGAGGCGATACAAGAGGTCAAAATGGTCCAGGTCCGTTTGTCACCCATGTTTAATTCTTACCAACCAACGCCCGTCTTATTTCACCAAAAACACCAAGAAGCGTCACTATATGCAGCTCCCTCTTTGAGCAAAATTTCTGGAAGATACTCAAACTTGGCAATAAGTGCATTCATTGTTTCAGTAACATCAATGTTGTTCACATGTCTGGAAAGAAAAGGCAATGGATACACTTTTCAATCCATGCTTCCTCTTTGATGCATGGCTATACATTTTCATTCTCTCATCCATGCTCTCGTAGATTAGGTGTGAGCTAGTCCCGACTGAAGTAATAATACCACAAATGAAATGGTACCGTCAAACAAGGGAATGTTAAGCATATGTTAGTTGTTGGGGTCCATGGTCTCTTACATTAGGCGAGCTAGTTCTAATTGAGGAAATGTTGTAAATGCAAGGAAGACCTAACAGAACGAATAGTTGAACAGCATAACTGCTGAATCTATCATTGAAAAGAAGCGATGGATGCCGGCCTATTGAACTTACAGAATTGTATGGTAGCTACTGACCTCGCCAGTGGCCACAACTAGAATATAGACTTTGATTCAAGGATATGAAAGCTTGTCAGCCCCCTTTCCCCAAAAAAAAGGTATAACGCTAACATAAGCATATCCATTGCAGTTTGTGTGTAATGTGTACCAACCCAAATAACTGTTGTTCTTTTACACCTTCCTCTCTGATCAATGCTGGAATTTCTATCTTCTCAGAGCAAACTAGAAGCTTCTTTTAACGTTATTTGAAAATACAATAGGTACCAGATCATAGTTGAGTCTGTACAAATTTTGTACTCAAATGCCATGAGATGCATATGCGAAGCAGAAAACGTAAATACGCGGATGTACTAGGTTTAGCTCTGCTTTAAGTGAGAGGTAGTGGATTTCACCTACAATACCAGATTCTGCACCATGTATATACTCCCTCCGTTCCTAAATATAAGTCTTTTTAGAGATTCCAACGTGGATAACACATGCCATGTATATACTCCCTCCGTTCATAGATGAGTCTGTACAAAAATTTGGCTCAAATGCCATGAGAGATGCAGATGCGAAGGAGAAAACATAAATAAGTAGATGTACTAGGTTTACCTCTGCTTTAGATGTGAGGTAAGTGGATTTCACCTACAATACCAGATTTTGCACCATGCATATATTTTTGAACAAATAGAAGGTGCCACCAAAAAAAATTCTACACCGCAGTGTACATGGTGTTTCATCTTGAATGTCAAGTCCTGCCTGAATCCCTAATCATTCATTCTCCTTGATCTGCAGATATGGGAAAACGTTATGAAGTCGTGCGAGCAGAGGGGCAGGGACCTGCTGAACCTGAATGTCATAACCAGCGTGGACCTGACCGAGTGGCTGAGAACGAAAGACGGCGGCAACGAGACGATAAACCTGGGGCTGCCTTCCTACGACATGCTGTGCACCGTCCTGCAGTCGATCAAGGCCGGCTCCGCGGGGCTGCTGCTGGGCAACGGCGTGGAGGTGGACCAGCAGAACCGGCCGCAGGACCTGCTGCTGGACTGGTTCTTCCACCCCGTGCTGGTGCTCAAGGACCAGATACAGGTGCTCAAGATGACCGAGCAGGAGGTGAGGTTCCTGGAGAAGTCGACGCTTTTCGTCGGCGGTGGTTCTGCCACCGCCGGTGCGGATGCGTGGGACAATGGCGCCGAGACGCCCCGAGATCCTGTCAGGACCGCGCAGATCCAGGCGATCAGTAGAAGGTGCGCTGTCCCCTGCAGCAACTGCTTGTTTCTGCTACGGAATTTTAGTATTTGACATGTCAGTTTGTTGTTGATCTGCTGGCAGGATGGTGGGGATAGTGAGGAGCATGTCCAAGTTCCCGACGTACCGGCGGCGGTACAGGCATGTGGTGAAGCTGCTGGTGGCGTACGCGGTGGAGCGGGAAGGCTCGTTCGGGTCGTCGGCGTCGGCACCGTCGGTCTCCTTCGAGATCACACGCCTCGAAGTGTAGATAATGCCGTCCGTCGTCTTTTGCTTCTTCTTCTCTTCAGTAAGTATAGGCATCTATCGCACGCCGTTTTTGTCTGTGCCTCTCCTGTTTCAAGTCTACTAGGAGCTTCTGTGACTGTGTGTAGTATACGTAGTAGTTTTTTTTTTTTACCCTTTGGGTAGTGGGAGTGTGTATAGTTGTTGTGTTTTAGGATTTGAGATGATGCATGTGCCGAAACTTGAGGCACGGTCTTCAGTTGTGCTGTAAATTCTTGTGTATACATTTCACTTCTTAGGGAATTGTTTGGTTCCTTGGTAGGTGTTGCATTGTTGCGTCTTTGGCCGGCTGCGTTCACTGCTGGCATGATGGTAACCTATATGAGCGAGAATACGTCGGGTTTGACGGGGCCAAAATCTGACAAAATCTTTTTTGAGGAGAAACACACGAAGCAGCCAGCTGCTATCCACTTTCTTTCCCCTTGCATCGTTTTTTTAGAGAAAAGGTCTCTTTCTCTTGTGCATCATTTATTCATTTTCTTTTGCGCTTGTTTTCCTTTTTGTGAGAAACTTCTGCTCTTGTGAACCCCGAGATTCATCGGGAGCTCATTTTTGGCCAGGCCCATTCTTTTCTTTTCTTTGCTGTTTTTGTTTCTTCTTCTTCCAAATAGTTTAGGGTTATCAAAAAGTTTCAATTTTTTTAAGTGTGAATTTTCAAATAAATGTTCTTCAATTCAAAAAATGTTTGGAAAATCATAAAATATTCGTTGACTTCATAAAATATTCGTGATTTTCAAGAAATGTTTGCATATTCAAAAGATGTCCATGAATTTTAAAAAAAAATCTAAATCATAAAATGTTCGTGATTTTGAATAAATATTCATGAATTCAAAAAACATTCATGATTTTTTTAAATGTTCCCAAATTTCAAGAAAAGCTCATCGATTCAAAAAATGACCGCTGTTTCAGAAAATGTCCATGAATTTGGAAACTGTCCATGTATTTCAAAAAAGTTAGTCAAAACAAAAAAGTTAGTGAATTTTAAAATTGTTCCCAAATTTAAAAATGTTCGCCGATTCAAAGAAAATGTAGTGTTGGTTGGCAAGCTCATAGGCCTGCTCATGGTGGTTGGCAAGCTCCTGACATTGGAGTTGCCAAAATATATGTTGATGGAGGTATAGACCGAGGAGAATGGAAGGGGGCTGTCAGTCAAATTTTGCCGTGACGCGAGTGGGACATATTTGGGTGTGTCGTCAATCCTTTTTGAAGGTCTTACACATCCAGCGACGCTTGAAGCCATTGCTTGTAGTGAGGCAATGTTTCTAGCTCTTGATCTAAACCTCTCCCGCTACAAATTGCTATGGATTGTCTAAAAGTGGTACGCAATATTAAAGAGGATAAACCATGCAATTATGGTTCGTTGATCAAGAAGATTATGTCGAAGAAGGCGTTGTTCCGGGAGGTGTCCATTAGTCATGAATATCAATCATGCAATATAGAAGCACAGAATCTTGTAAAAGTAGCAACTTCTGTGGAGAGTGGGTGTCATGTTTGGCTCACCGGAGATGTATCTGGTGCACGGGGGCAATTTGGTGCTACCGGTGCACCGGTCCCCATTACACATTCAAATGTTCAAAAATCCCCAAAAAAAACATTAGTGCACTGACACAACACCAATGTATGTTGTCACAAAAAATCAAATCAAAATCTGAAACATTACTCGAGATAAAAAATGTCAAATTTGATACTGAATAGTACATAACACAAGTTGGGCTTCGGTTTTGGCCCATTGGCGCACTGATGTCAAATTTGTCATTTCTGTATCTCGACCAATGTTTTCAATTTTGATTTGAATTTTCATGAAAACATACATTGCTATTGTGCCAATGCACTAAATATTTTTTGGATTTTTTTGAACATTTTTGAATGTAACAGGGTCTGTTGCACCAGATACGTTCTCTTGGCCCACCTCACCCCCACCTATAGCTTGTATCCCTGTCAACATCGTTTAAATAAAAGCTATATGGTGTTCTACAAAAACTATCGAGCTACGACCCGTTTAGCCCTTAAATTTTCACTCATTTTATTTTTATTAAAGCACATGAATTGAGTTTTTTTAAATAATATCATGAGAATAGAAAAAAAAATTGATCCCATGATGGATTTGAATAATTCCCCCAAAATATTTTTTAAAATAACTCCCTAAATTAGTTTTAGGATTTGAATAATTCCCCAAAAATAGCTTTTGTGCTTCAAATGAAGATGCAAAATCCAAATATGCATGAAATAATGGTATGCTTCTATTAACATCTAAATTGAAAAATTGGAATGTTACACCAACACACACACATTGACACAACACCTACTTGAAGTCCTTGGGTAGTACTAGTAAAAATTACTACTACTCGTAAATCAGGCAACACGTACTACCACCCACCGAGACACCGAGGGTGTGTTTGGTAAGGTGCATGAAGGCTGCATGAGGGCAAAAGTTTTTAATCCGACCCACTTTTACTTGTTTGGTAGGGTGCATAGGCTCACCTGAGCTATGCTCATCTGATGCATAAAAGTGCCCTCAGCCATACTCATCTCATGCACCCCAGACAGGGTGCATGGAGGCAGCTATGCTGGCCCTGACACTCGTCCCCATCGACCAGACCATGTCCGGATATATTTATTTTTTCAAAAAGAATCAAAATTTCAAAATTTGTTTAAATTTTCGAAAAACTTTAGAATTTCAGAAGAAATGAAAAAATGAATTTCAAAATTGTTTAAATTTTCAAAAAAAATCATAATTTCAAAATTTCTTTGGATTTTCAATAAATATTTGAAATTTCAATTTTTCTAAAAAAATCATAAATGTTTGGTATTTCAAAAGGAAATCAAAATTTGTTTGAATTTTGAAAAAAATAGAATTTTAATTTTTTATAAAATATTCAAATTTTGTTTAAATTTTCAAAAAAAACTCATAATTTCAAATATGTTCAAATAAAAAAACAGAATTTCAAAATTTATTTTAATTTCCCAAAAAAAGTTTAGAATATCAAAATATGTTTAAATTTGTGTTGACATTTTTTCGATTTTGTTCATCATTCAAAAAAAATATTCAGAATTCGAAATTGTTCAGCATGTCTAAACACATGCAGGCTGCCAAACAAAATCTCAGCTCAGCATGTCTCAGCGCATACATCACTGCCAAACAACAGCAACTGCTTGGACTTAGCATGTCTACACTCAGCATGTATGAGATAAGAACAACTAGGCTAGGTCCATACATGCTACCAAACACACCCTCGTGAATGTGTTTCGGCCTACCCTACTAACTAAATCAGACAATGAAAGTTTTAGTGCTTGGAGTAGGGCCCAAAATGGTGGTCTATTAGCTGGTACACAAACCGGTTGGTAGGTCGGAACTCAGAAACCGGACCTGTGAATGTCACCGAAACTTGGAGGCCGACCTCGTCATAGCTGAACACAGTACTGGAATAGTACACCCATGCCCCAGCATTCAAACCAATGCACCTCAATGCGAATTCACGATCCATCCCACGACCAAGAGCCACGGCCGGCGGACCGAAGAAGCGTTCTCCGCCATGCGTGCCAGTCAGCGGCCGGCCCTCCACAATTCACGGGCCCAATCGCCATCCAGTCTAGTCTAGAGCAGAAAACGATGGAACCCAAGTCGTCGAAAGAAAACAGCATGCCGTGAGTTGCCGACGGTGAAACAGGAAAGGAGGCAACAAGGCACCAAGGAGCGAGCACAAGCGCACAGCTGGCTGAAACCGCAATGCAAAGCAAGGCAACCAACCACTTCCTTCCTTGGTTGCATCCATCCATGTGAACATATTAACTTGAAAAGAAAAACGAGGAACCGAAAAGGAAAGCTCTCCTTGATTACATCCGCTCTAGGTCAGCGGGCATCGATTAGAGCATCTCCAACAGCTTCCTTATTTTTTAGCATGAGACGGTTTTTTTATGTAACATGAGACGTTTATCGGTGGGTTGATTTCCATCATTTCCCGCAAGAAAAACGTCCTCCAACAGTTACCCAACCACAAAAATTGTAGTTTTTTTGAGCAGCCCTAAAATACAACACAAAGTGCCTCAAACATACAACACTTCCGATGTTGTCACAAAAAACGAGTGGATGCCCCGGGATGATCGCCCACGGCCGTTTCACTCCCGTGCCCGGCCGGATCTCCACCCCGCTGAAGGCCACCGCCGTCGCTCCGCCACCCCGACCCCATCGCTCCCCTCCGCTACCTCGACGGCCGTCACCGCTCTGATTTTGCATCCGCCCATCACGGCCGGCACTCCGCCGCCCGTAATGGCTGTAGAAACTCGATCGTGTCCCTCCGGGTGGCCTAGCGTCCGCTGGTTCTTGCTGCCCGATCACCATGGCCGAACGGATTGATGACGAGCTTGGGGTGGCGACAACGCGACGTCGTCGCCTTCCCCACGCCGACGGAGGACACCACATGGCCTTTTACATCTCCTCTCGACAACAACTAGCCACTGAGGACCCGCCAACCGGATATCCCTCCTCACCCACAAGGTGTTCGACGAAATTCTTACAAAGGTAAAAAAATCGTTTGCGTTTTTTTGTATGCAATTGTAGAATTTTAGCTTGATAGATAGTTTCGTATTGTAGATGAGTTCTTGTGACTCCAACTATTGCGATGATTCCTCGTTGGATGAGGAATTTGACTTGACCAAGGAGGAAGATATTGCTATATCGCGATGACGATGCACAAGAACAAGAGGCTGAAGCATGGCGGTTTGATTTTCGACAGTGGTTTCTATGGAGAGAACGGAAAGAGGCGGGCACCCGATTGATGTGCAACTACTTTGGCCCAAATCCTCATTAGCTAGATAGAATGTCTACGATCTTGTTTATTCACATTTGCAATGTTGTGAAGCAACATGATCATTCCTTCCTACAAAGAAGGAATTGCACCGGATTGCTTGGACATAGCACTAAGAAGAAGGTCACTGCCACATAGCTCATGATGGCCTATGGTATTC